TTACCAAGGCATTATAAGGCCACACTTGGAATACTAGCATTTATACAGTAAGAACTTGAACAGATACAAGAACACCACACATAACATCTGCAGTATAATTTTATTTCCAGAAATATTTCAGTTTAAAAACAAACAGTTGCATTTCAATCTTGAAACCAGCAAGACTGATAAATTCATCCCCATGGCAACATGGAGCTTCCTACCAAACATATACATATTAAGAATGCTGATTCTACTTTCAAACTAAGCTTTAAAAAGTCAGATAGAATATGAGTTTACTAAGAATATGATAGAATATGAGTTTACTAACTCATTTACTTAGTAAATGAGTTTACATTTACTAAGCACCAAAACCCGGCTAGTTTAACGGGGTTACTCTCAAATCAGCATTCATAGGATTGCATTCCATATACAGAGAAATTGCTTTATAATAAGAAATACTTAATGCATTATATGAAGCATGAATTGTGCTTTGTAACAATTTGAGGAAACAGAGTTGTTACTCCAATGTCTATATTTACCATGATTTCACAACTATGCTGGATAGTCTCATTTGTTTTCTGATTTTGAAAAGTCACTTTTTACAGCTACAACTAGGTTCTGGATGACACAGAATTGTGCTAACAATATAAGGTCTGGTCAGCTACACGGATATGTTGATGAGTCCTACCTAATAAATCTGTCTATTAATATAATAGTGTCCTCACGCCAGAAAGCTATTTGAGCAGATTACCTTATAATTGTAAAATTACTTCAAGCCAACCTTTAAGCAGCTTGATTATTGAGGTTTTCTATTGTTACTGATTCTGTTACAAAACTTAATAATTGAAAATTTAGAATAGTCATATTCCTATTCTTGGAACATTTCCTAGCAAGTCTTTGTTGCTACACAATTCATCTTTTCATTGGCAAAAATACATATCTGGTTTTTAAAAAATTGATAGAATACCAATCAACATTAAAGCTATTCTAAAACATGTTGGAGAATGGAACAATTTTCTTTTAGTCAAGCCATTATTAATATTGAAGGCATTGATCATCCTGCTGTAGACTATAATCTAGAGTTAAGAGTTACAAAGACATCTGGGAAGCTCATGTAATCTATATGCATGGAAAATCTGAATATTTATGGAATGTACATTGAACAAAAATGTTTCCAAAACTAGGCCTCCATTTCAGTAAAATTCCAGTCAAGCTACATTGGGTACAAAGAAATATGCAACAGAGATATTTTATTCATTTAACTGGATGGAAAATAAACTTTGGAGCTTTACTGTAGAACCAAAGCTGGCAAAAGAAATACTGACATAATTTAGATACGAATTACACAAATGTTTTTGATGGCAATAACTTAGTTGTCTAGTCATGTGTATAGCAACTCAATATAATAACAGCTGGACCATTTTCCAAGCAATTAATTTGGGGACCCTGGAAGAGTAACTAATGCATGGAGTTCATGAGAAACATTTCATTGAAATAACTGGGTGTTATATCACAAATTATTGAAAGAACTTATGAGGAATTGTAGAAATATCTTCACTGAACAGTAGTTTATCATTATTGATGTATACAGTGATGGAGCAGTGACCTATTAGCAAACATTACATTTATGTCAAGTGGATATCATAGACAATTAAGAAAATACAAGGAATCCTACTATTCTTACAATGAATTTTATACATTTAAATGGAAATCAGCTCCCGCTGAATTCAACAGGATTTGTTTCCTTGTAAATAAGACTGATGAGGAAATGGTGGAATGGAACATTCCCAAGAAAAGTACAGACATAGAAGAAAAATAAAAAAGATATAGTTATACAAATTCAAAGATAACAGAACAAAGCAAAAGTTTCGTCCAAATAATATACAAAATTTCCAGAAAGGGTATGATCTTTTCATTATCTTTTTCTATGGAGAAGTCCTATTTTTTTCTTCTTTAAACACCAAGTCCTTCACAAAGAGAACGTATGATTAAAGCAGTGGCAATTTACAGTGGTAATTCCACAATATCATGTATCAATCCAGAGTATCAAAATAAATACAGCAACCCACCTGTTAAATTCTATATGAATTAAGTAACTCCTTTCATCAGCTATTAGACTCAGTCTAAACCTTTAAATATTGTTTGGTCGTTACAAAATCATATAGAAGGTGATACTAACACCTTCTGGCCAGTTTATTTATCAGCAAAACCAAGGAGTTTTACTAAACACCCTTCAGGCTAGAAATGTAGAATCAGTTACTTTGCATGCGAGTAGAAACCTAGCATAACTCAAATTAATCTAGGTTTCTCTTTGATATGCTAGATATAAAAAACAGTTTCAGAAGGGATTAATTTAAACATGCAATTGATTACACACCTATAATCTGAATTGGTAACATCCAGATTATTATTATTTTTCTTTTCAGAGGAAAAAGTGAGCTCCTGTACAGTATAAATACTGTGGTCATTTCAATGGGTTTCCAAAGAAATTTAACAATATCAAATTAAAAATTAAGTAACCTACCAACTGGTTAAAAATAACAAGGCAGCTCTGTCTAGTTGCAATAGTAGTCTACATGAAACAAGTTGCATTTTCAGCTATCCCTGAAAAAAGAAATGCATCAGCAAATGAATTCTGTCCCTTGATTCTATTGCAATGTTTCTCACACTTGGCAACTAAGGCTGTGCGGACTTCATCTCCCAGAATTCCCTAGTCAGCATGCTCAAAATGCCAAGTTTGAAAAACAAAACAAAACAACTGTTACATTGATTGCACAGAAAACCTTTGGTTGGGAAGGCAAATTTCGCTGGTATCCAAAATTTGCCGCTCCATTTGTGTAAGGGGAGAGGCATTTGTGCCAACATTTTCTCCCCTCCCCCCCCTCCTGGGGAGGTGCTTTCTGTTACCACCTCATCTCTCACAACATCCCCAGTGGTCACCAATTTTGCAGAAGCCATTTTAGGGAAGCACGAAAAAAAGATGAAGGAAGAGGCAGGATAAAACATTCCAGATACTATATACAGAAACTGCCCCAATTACGGGAGCATGGAAGTCCTGGGACGCTTCTCTATGAAGAGCCACACTCTTCTATCCTGCCCGTTTTTGTTCCTGCATCATCTACAGCAGGGGTGTCCAACCTTGGCAACTTTAAGACTTGTGGACTTCAACTCCCAGAATTCCTCAGCCAGCTTTGCTGGCTGAGGAATTCTGGGAGTTGAAGTCCACAAGTCTTAAAGTTG